TAGGGCTGGGGATATAGCTCAGTTGGTAGAGTGCTTGCCTTGCATGAACAAGGCCCTAGGTTCAATCCCCAGCATCACCAAGAAAAAAAAAAAAAAAAAAACAGGTTTAACTAGATCAATAATGACATTAAATTAGACTAAACACAACAATTACAAATCAGAATTATCAGAAAGGATAAAAAAGGAAGACTAAACTATACACTTTACAATAAAAACACACAGAAAGTCAGAGAGTATGTGAAGAAAGGATATATTAGGCAATCACAAAAAATTAATATATGGAATGATTATATTAATATCTCATAAGGAACACTTAAAATTAGTAGTATTACCAAAGACAAAGGGACATTTCATAACGATAAAAGGGTCAATTCATCACCAAGATAAAACACAACAGGATGCATGCACTTGGTAACAGCTTAAAAATATACTGTATGAAAACTGACAAAATTTAAAAGGAAAATAGAGAATTATATAATCACAGGAGATTTTAACACTCCATCTCAAAACTTGATAGAATAGTTAAGTAAAAAATTAGTAAGGACATAGAATATAGAAACAACACTAATTGAGGTGTAGGATCAAACTACATACTAGAGAATTCATTCTTTCCTGGTACACCGAAGTATTTTCAGCAAGTTATATCTTAAACTTGGCTACACTTGGCTATAAAACTCAAGAAGGCTGAAATCACTGCAATTTCTAATCAAAACACTATTAAATTATACATTAGTAGCAATAAGAAATCAAGGACATCCTAATCATTTGGAAATGAAACCATATATTTGATTACTTATCAGAGGTCAAATGAAAATTAGAAAACGTTTTTTAACCTAATGATAATGAAAATACAAATATAATTTGTGGGATACAGCCAAAGCAGCACTCAGAAGACAATTTATAGCTTTAAATATTTTCATTATGGAAAAAAAAAAAGGTCAGGTCAATGACAAAGAGTCTCAGCTATGTGCACACCACTGTCTGAGTGTGAGGCTCTGTGCACCCAGAGAAGACAGGGTATGGCCCAAAGGAAAAACTGGGGCTGATCTGTGAACTGCTTGCACATTTCATGTTTCCTCACCCACCTGGCAGATGGTAAAAGCCTTGCTGTCTCACTGTTTAAGCACAACTCCTGAGAAATTATTAGCTAACCACTAAACTTTTCTGACTTAGGGATAACTTGTAGGAAGTCAGGAAAGAATTCAGGAAAAAGAACAACAAAAAAAAAGAAGAAAGAAAGAAAGAAAACAGTTACATATGGCTCTAACTCAAGAAATTGGAAAAAGAAAGCCAAGTAAACCCAAAGGAAGAAAAAGAAGGAAATCTTCAAAAGAGCAGAAACCAACAAAATTGCCCAAAGCAAACTGAGCCAAAGCTGGCTCTTTGAAAAGATCAACAAAATTGGTCCCTAGCTAGAATAGTCCAGGAAAAACGAAACACAAATTACCAATAACACAAATGAAAAACATTTAAGACTGCAGATTTTGCAAACATTACAAGAATAAGTAAATGCACAGGTAAAGTTTAAGGTTATAAGCAGCCTTTTCACAAATTCAGTGCTGAATGATCACCTTGAAAGAGTTGTATCCACAACTCTGATAGTTATCTGTTTGGCACAATCAAAAGCTGTGCTTTTGAAAGTATGATTTAATATTAGCACGCTCATTCTTAGAACTGATGTGAAGCTGAGATCTTCCCCTACCACAGCAAATCATCCTCAATGCACTCCCAAGTCAGCACATTGGGAATTTACACAGCTATCTCAATTTGGGCATGCTTTACAAAATAACTGTTGAATTTCTACCTCTTCTAAAGAGCCTTTATCTATTTCTGTTTTTTTAAAAATTTCATGTAGTATTCACAGTGTGYTCTAATCTCAAAATGAACCAAAAAGCCTTATTTTTCTCAAACCATTCCTATAAAAATTATAGGGAGAGGTAATGTCCTCTAAAGGGCACTCAAAACAATGTCCAAATACTGAGTAAGATAAGAAGGTATGATATTTGAAATACCACTGGGCTCTTCTCTCACTGAACAAAACTACATTAGAAATATAAAAATCCTATATGAACAAGCTTTCAGCCATTATGGGTGATTTCTTGATGACTTTGAGAGCAATTCTCAAATGGTGAGGATCAGTGATCTTCTCTGTGTACTGAGTCCCACACTGGCCACACACTGCACCATCTGATCAGCCAAAGGGGAAGAAAGCTCAGCACAAGGCTTGTGTGTGGGGCATCATTTATCTGAACACCCCAAAGCTAGGAATCTTTATCTCCACAGCTGCAGCAAACAAAAAAGCAACAGGAATCAAACCAAATGGTGTTCAACAGAAGGGTTTTAAATAGTTCAATAGTAAGGTTTCCTATAAGAAGAGACCTTTCATATTCAAGAAGTTGGAAAATGGCTTTAGAAGTCTTGATTAGAATTAGTAATGCCAAGAAAAAAAGACAGGTGTCAGTTACAAAGGAACTCCTTGAATACAAATAAAAAATAGTTTGTATCAGAGCCAAAGAAGCCATTATGAACTGCTATATAAATAGGCACTTAATGATTTTTTTCAATGTTCCATTATTGATCTRATAGTCCTCTGTTTCCGTTGAAATGAGTAAGTAATTTGTTTAAGATAACATTAATAGGATCTGCAGCATATTAGGTACCCTGGGTCCCTCTCATCATCAGAATTATCACTATGAAAAACAAATTTCACACTTTCAATAAAATATCTGCATAGTTTCAAAAATCACAGCAAAAGACCAGGGACATTAGATCCATCGAGTGCAAAAAAACATTTCTAAGTCATAATTCCACAAATATCACTTATTTGTATCAATAAAGATTGCATATTTACTTACTAATGCAAGATATAATTGCTTTAAGCACTGCAAACAGAATGGTGAGTTCTAAGGGACATGGTCCCTGCTCCATCTGTTAAAAATGATGAAATAAGGTAGAAAGAATGCTATGCAAGCAGAGGGAATGGGGTCTGACCCCTACAAAGGCACAGAGAAAACATCCAGAAGAAATGATGTTTAACTTGAAACAAGTGCGGGAAACAGGGCACAGCCCTGTGCTGTAGGAAGCCAGGACTTGAGTAAAAGATATCTCTGTCAAAGCAAACTATGGTCAAAGGCCCAGCATGTGCAAATTGCCAGGCACTCTGTTAAGAGTTGTCTTTTGTGYAGGAAAAGAGACGTAGTAGAAAATTAAACTTCGATAGCAATCTGAATATAGCAAAAGATAACAGTCATACACCTCTTAATCTAGTAATAAAAGAGGTAAAAGGTCCCAATTTCACCTGGGCCCATTCTTGACACTGCACATTTAAACACGTTTATTACTTGTGTCACAGCTTGAACAAGAAGGACACTATGCTGTCCTTCTTGTGTTGCAGGGAGGCAACACAATCAAGCAAACAGTCAAACACAACAGAGTGCTAGGGTGGCTTGGATGATTCTGATGTGTAGCTCCCTGACATAAGTTATCACTGAATAAAATATTTAGCTTAAAAACTACTGTTCGAAGACTTTTCCAATAATAAGTAAGGGAGTCATCATTATTCAGTAAACATGATATAACAGGAAAATGAAAAGGAACCCTGACATTCCAACACCTAAATAAGAAATCATGCTTAGATTTTCAAATAAATACCAAGTAGTGTCCTACAGATTCCAAAGTATTTTCACAGTCTCACAGTATTTTCTTATTGTTCACAGAAGGAAAGCCAAGCAGATATTCTAATAATCACCCACTGTTTGTCAGGCACTGAGGTGGAGTACCAGGCTCTTTGCYGGGAACTTAACATCATGATCTCATTTCACCCTCACACCTATCCTACAAAGGAACTACTCCCCCCCACCCACCTCGGCACTTACAGATACAGAACCTAAGGCTTAGGGGTTCCCGTAACTTCCAAAAGAACACATACAGACAAGCAACTGGTCCCCAGGTCAGATCCCAAAGCCTACACATCTCCTTCCCTCCCTACTGCATGGCTTCAGTGTCACTGGAGTGTGACCAGCAAGGGAGCTGGAGCACARACACTGAGCAGAGGAGATGGGAACAGGCTTCAGGTCCAGGAGTCCTAGCTCAGTTCTCTTTCAACCACACTGAAGCTCACTACAACCCTCGTCTTKGGGTATCTGCCCATCATTTGAAGGCATCTTTAGCTTTCTAATAAGTTGATCCCTTTGCACTGGTTCTCTCTAAACCATCTTTCTAAAGATAGTGGGGGCACAAATCACAGAAACACATCTAAGCAAAAAATCAAAACATTTAACAAGCAACACTATTCATACCCTGCATCCAACACTATCTTCAGGTGCCATGTGTTCCTGAAATAAATCTCACAGTGAAATCTGCTATTTAAAAACTATAATAATAAAAAATAAATAAATAAAAATAAAAAACAAAAAACTATAATAAAGCCTCAAAACTGTGCCAAGCTTTATACAAATAATCTCATGTAACCCTCATAATGACTCTAACAAGACTATACTATTGACCTYAGTTCACAGAGATAAGCACAAGTTTATCAAGGTTAAGTAACATGCCCAAGGTCACAYAATTACAGGTGGTGAAGCAGTGTGATTCCAGAGCATATGCTTCTCACCTCTACAACACAGGCTGTGTTCATGAGATGGTCAATAGTCAAAAAAAAMATATTCTCATCCAAATTTGTATGTTCATAGAAGTGTTCATACATAATTACTCAAGAGTTATATTATCAAAATTATATAATCTTAATGTATAGCTCTTTGTTAAAGAAAAGAAACAGGCATCTCACTTAAAAACGTTCTCACCTTTTAGATTATTAAACACTTTGTTAAATAAAGAAATATCACTTAAAATTTTCACACCTTTTAAATTATGAAGCTTAAAATCTATTTGAACACGTAGCTGAATGACAAATATTTTTTCAACATCTTACTCAATAGCTTTTCAATTGAGGGTGCACTCACACTTTACTTCATACACAAAACAGATGCCCAAACACTCACCAATGGGCACTTGTTCAGGCTGACTGAGAGAGACGAAAGCTGATGTGTCATCAATCCAGGATATCTGAATGCTACCTGTTAACATTAAATTGAAAGTAAAGTGAGAACTTCACCATTTAGAGAACTCTCAGATATACTTTGTAGATCTGATGTTTATAGAGAGATGTTGTTAAAACTATATTTAAAAAAAACTATCATCAAAAATTCCAGGGGGCTGGGGTTGTAGCTCAGTGGTAGAGCCCCTGCCTCACACATGTGAGGCCCTGGGTTCACCTGGGTTTGATCCTCAGCCCCACATAAAAATAAATGAATAAAAATAAATTTTAAAAAGGTTGTTTTTAAAAATCTCAGTACTACAGAGTTAACCTGCTTAAAACTTCAATCCACTACAGTAGTTTTTCTGTTAAAATTTTAAGAGAAATAAGCAGCTTTTAGAAATTTCTTTTAAAAAGAAATTTAAAAGGAAAAGAAAGATCCGTCTGGATTGACTCCTAGGACACATCATCATTTAGTCCAGGGTTGGAGACCTTTTTCCCTCTCAAGATCACTAACAGAACTCATAGATCATCCATGTTCAAAACCACATCTGTTTCTTTCTCGAGATTGCTATGGTTTGAATACTGTGGTTGTCCTACTCGCTAAACTCATGTTCAAGTTTAATCCCCACTATTAAGAGGGTAGAAATTTGTAATCCCAGTGATTTGGGAAGCTGAAACAAGAGGATCACAATTTGAGGCCAGTCTGAGCAATTATGTGAAATAGTCTAAAATTTAAAAAAAAAAATGGGGGAGGGGGCCCTATAGTTCATTAGTACATTAGTAGATTGCTTGCCTAGCAATCCTAGGTCCAGGATTATAGCCCCAGCACCACAAAAAAAAAAAAAAAAAAAGAAAGAGAGAGAGAGAGAGAGAGAGAGAGAGAGAGAGAGAGAGAGAGAGAAGAGAGGGGTTGAAACATAATCTGACTTTGGTGTTTAGATGGGGACTTTGAGAAGTGATTAGAATTAGATGCAGCCATTAAGGATGAAACCCCCATGAAGGAATTCAGTGGCTTCATGATCAGAGGAAGACTCACACATACTTACCTGTCCCTTGCCTGTGACGCCCTACAATGCTTTAGAATTCTGTCAGTAAGAAGGCCATCACCAGATGTGGGCCCTTGACCTTGTAACTCCAACACCAAAACAAACCTCCTTTATTTAAAACTCACCTATCTATTGTGTTACTGGCAAACAGAAAACAGACTAATATAGCACAAACTTTGAAACTGAAGAACAGGAAACATAAAAATGAGTCAAAACACATCACAGTAATAAGAAAAAAATCAATATTGAAAAGAATAAGAGACAGAATGGAGGCCAAAATAACTAAGGAGCCTTAGAGAAAAARCCAAGTCAGACCAACAGAGGGAAAAGCAGAAGCAAAGAGCTTCCTTGAGTGACACATACAGGCTGAGAGGCAAATAAAAAAGGCCACACACAACAGGACAGAATGGAGGAGAGGGGAGCAGAAGAGCAGGGTCCAGGTGGCTGGAGAAAATAGAAGGAAAAGACAGAGACCTGACGGCTCCATACAATGCTCTTGAAAAAAATGCAGAGGACTGGACTTTACAAAATGGGTGAAGTCACCAAACTCTAGCAATGGAAACATGTTTTCATTCCTACTAAAATTTCTGATAGGGGCTGAGGTTATAGCTCAGTGGCAGAGCACTTGCCTAGAATATGTGAGGCACTGGGATCGATCCTCAACACCACAAACAAATAAATAAATTAAATTAAAGCAAAAAATTTTTTTCTAACAGCTAGGAACTCTTGAAAARTGTTTTGTTTTAACCACCAAAAGAAACAAAACAAAAAAYCCAAAACCTCACTTTTAGCCACAGAGTAAGGYACAACACTGACTTGAGCAATTAGAAAAAAAAAACAATAGGTGTTGTTATTTGGTTACTCTCTACCCTGTGTGTGAGTTATCTTTACACCGGTAACAATAGTGAACTTCTATTGAGTGAACTCACATGGTTTGGATGTGAGGTGTTGCCCCARAGCTCCTCTGTGTTAATGAAGGAATGTTCTGAGGTAAAGTGACTGGATTGTGACAGCTGCAACTTAATGAGTCCATCCTAGTCTGAATGGACTGCAGGCTGGACGTGGCCAGAGGAGATGGGTCGCTGGTGGGGTGCCCTGGAAGGGTTATTCTTCCCTGAGCCCCTGCCTCCTCCTCTCTCTGCCTCCTGATCCCACATGAGCTGAGCAGCTTTCCTGCACKTCCTCCATGATCTGCTGCCTCACCTTGGGCACAGAACGATGGAGTCAGCCAACTTTTGGACTGAGATCTCTGAATCCATGAACCCCAAGTAAACTTTTCTATTTCTCAGTTGTTCTTTGTTGGATATTTTGGTCGCAGTGATGCAAGGCTGACTAACACAGTATTTACTATATGCCACACCTGTTGTAAATGCCTTCTAATGATTAGCTCATTTGATCCCAGTGACATATGAATGAAAAAGGCATTATTATTATTATTATTTTAAATAATTTTTTATCTTTATTTTGTTTTATTTATTTTTATGTGGTGCTGAGGATCGAACCCAGGGTCTCTCACATGCAAGGCAAGCTCGCTACCACTGAGCCACAACCCCAGCCCCCATTATTATTATTATTATTATTATTATTATTATTATCATTATATCATCATCATCATCATCATCTCCAATGAGAAAACAAAGAGTACTTGTCCAAAGTCACACAGCTAATTTTTTTTTTTAATTAAACTGAAAAAAATCCTACTTGGAGCATTTTACTTAATTTAGTCAATTAAAGTTTCACAACATACAAATAAGAACTTGAGATGTGAATCAACAAAAGCTTCCAAAAGAAATGAGCCTTGAAATTCAACTGCATTTTTAATCTGTATTTAAATTAAAAGGCAACTAGGATTTCAGAGAATATCTAGACTACCTTCAAAGAGCAGGATAATTTTCCAGAAAAGATGCCTTTCACATATTTTTCAAAAAATAAAGTATGTAAAGTTTTAAAGTTTTCTTATTTGTTTTTACTTGTAAGAGGTAATATGGGGCTGGGATCATGGCTCAGTGGGAGAACACTCACCTAGCATGTGCAAGGCCCTGGGTTCAATCCTCAGCACCACATATAAATAAAGGTATTGTGTGCAACTATAACTAAAAGAGAGAGAGAGAGAGAGAGAGAGAGAGAGAGAGAGAGGGAGGGAGGGAGGGGTAATATATGCTTGCTTTAGAAAATACAGAAAAGCATAGAAGGAAAAATAAAGTGTTCAGTGGTGATCACATGGTGGTATCAAGATTTCTATACATAGTTTTTTWAAAAAAATAGTGTCAGCTATACAGGAATTCTATTTTGTATAGCTTTTTACTCTAAGGATTAAAATGTAAACAACTTACCATCTTTAATATTTGAAAAATATTTTTTAAATGTCTGCATACTATCCTTGAGGAAATGCATCAACAGTTACCAGTCTTACTTTCTTAGCTTTTTGCAGCTCTCATTTTATCTAAGACTTTTTTTCTAAATATTTATTTATTTTTAGTTTTAGGTGGAYACCATATCTTTATTTTACATTTATGTGGCTGAGGATCRAATCCAGTGCCTTGTGCTTGGTAGGCRAGCACTCTACCACTGAGCCACAACCCCAGCCCTTATCTACGATTTCTATAGAGGATGATAGCTTAAAAACTTAACTTCTTAAGATAAAGAGGTATAGCTTACAATCAGAACAGTCTTTACAAACCCTAACCAGAAGACTACTCAAATTAACTTAATCACATGACCTGGTAAAAGGGAAAGACCTGCCCTCCTTCATAGATAACCCATATCTTGGTYAGCTCAGGCAACCAAATTAGAATTCCTGTACAGCTGACACTATTTTTAAAAAACTATGTATGGAAATCTTGATACCACCATGTGATCACCACTGAACGCTTTATTTTTCCTTCTATGTTTTTCTGTACTTTCTAAAGCAAGCATATATTACCTCTTATAAGTAAAAACAAATAAGAAAACCTTAAAACTCTACATACTTTATTTTTGAAAAATATGTGAAAGGCATCTTTCTGAGTTGGTTGCTTTAATTATAATCTCAAACAGAGACTGCCTGACCTTATGAAACAAACATTCTCTCTGAATTTAATCTTCAGAATTATTTACTCTCTATCTACATTTGTGTTCTCTAGTCAGTAGTACTGGCAGTCATAAAAATGGTGTCTTGTAGATCCTACTGGATCCTAATGGAAAGTGAATGCTATTAATCCACRATCATATTTGCACATATTAATCTCTCATATCATATCAGATTAATGTTAGCACAACATATTAGCTCCTCAGATCACATTAGCACAAAAAAATTTCCATGAGTGAAATTAAAACCTTGTGAATTTACATTCTTTCATGCCCAAGATAAAACTATCTATCTACCTCTGACCACCTACACTGAAAGAATAGCAAGATCCTAAGATGTGCATCTGCACTGTGTTTCACTTACCAAAGGCACTGAAAAGCTGGTAAAGGTCACTGGTTTTCCATTCTTTGGGGAACGTCACATGGAGAACATGATCACGTTTAGGTTGTACTACAAGACAAATACATGATTAAAGATTGATAGTTGAAAAGTGATCAAGTAAACCAGGGATTCTCTGATAAAGAAAGTGGAACTGCTATGAATGCCTCATGATTTCCAAATAACTCCTCACGTATGCTTAGCTTTGGCAGGACACTKCTGTCACAAGCTAGACCAATACAGCCCACTACAATTTGATGACCAACTCTATGCAGAACTATCTCCTTTTTTCAAGAAGTTCTTGTGGAGATATTGGAAAGGGGAGGAAAGGAGACTCTGTTCTAGAAGTTTCCCCATACTTTTAACTTCTTCCTTTTAATCTAGCTGTCCACATGTTCATTTAGTTTTTAAAAAATAATAATGTACTGTCCCAACTAAATGAACTGATCACTTTTAAGCAGAGGCAGTGTTGACACAGGACACTCTGTTCTAATCCCAGACCCATCACTTCACCTGTGCAACTCTGGCCACTCCTGGCTACGAACCAGGGTGATGAAATTTAGCTTACAGAACTGCTGTGAGACTAGCAAGCTAACGTGGAGGTCAACACAATGGCAGAGTGATGCAATATCATCACAACAATATGAGCACCAAGTACATTCATCCATGAATTAAAGCAAATAAACTAAGACTAGGAAAAAAAGCAATGGGCTGGTACAGTGGCTTGCACCTATAATCCCAATGATTTTGACACAGGAGAATCTAAAGTACAAAGCCAGCTTCAGCAACTTAGTGAGACACTCAGCAACTTAGAGGGGCCCTGTCTCAAAATTTAAAATTAAAAAAAAAATGGACTGGAGATGTAGGTTGGTGGTAAAAYGCTCTTAGGTTCAAAAAAAGGGCAAATAGAATAAAAGAGAAAAGCAGAAGAAAAGTAGCGGCAATTACCCCTTCAACCAGATTGGATTTTTGAGGTGTTTTTTTTTTAATTTCTTTTTTTTTTCCTGGTGCAGGGGATGGAACCCAGGGTGTCACACACACTAAGATACACCCTTCAAGTCTTTATAACAGTTTTTAACAAGCCACCTACCCCATTAACCCACTACATTTAAACACATACCTACTCAAGTAATTGGAAAACAGAAATTTTWAAAGTTTACTGACATAGATAGAATAACTTAAAATCTATTATAAATATTTATAAGAAATGACAAAACTAGAATTCTAAGGGAAAATGAAATAATGAAGCAACGATTTTTTTWAAAAAAATCAACTCATGCATARACTAGAAAATGTAAATAAGAGATGACCCCCAGGGTCCCATTAACTTAAGCATACTATTCATATCAACCACAAAATCACTGCCCATGTTTAAGCGAAAAAAGCTCTTCCTTCAGTAATATATTTCCTGTTCCTCCTTCAGACCACACACGTAAGTGCACAGAAACAATGAGAAAATTAAAATTAACTCACAGTCTGGTCCTTCCAGGTTTAGATAGGGGATATCCATGACCCTCATAAGAAACAATCTATAAAGAGAAGATAAAAATAGGTAATGAACTAATTTCTTAAAAAAAGCAYAGAGGCATCTATTAAATGTCTTAGTAGAAGCCCTTGATTATATTGTTCTGTTTCTAAAGTAATTTTTAGAACCTTAAAATTCAATTCAGAGATTCTCTCTTCCCTTGGGTTAAACTTTATTATAAATAGGACAAACAAGCCAGATGCAGGGGGCACGCCTGTAATTCCACTGACCCGAGAGGCTAAGGCAGGGAGATCTCAAGTTGCAGGGCAGCCTCAGCAACTTAGCGAGACCCTGTCTAAAGTAAAAACTAAAAAGGGCTTGGCATGCAGCTCAACAGTAAGGCACCCCTAGGTTCAATTCCCAGTGCCAAAAATAAATAAGTAGGAAAAACACCAATGAACTGCAGCATCCCAAACCTACAACAGTTTCTGGCCCTCTGTTGTTGCTCAGTAAGTATCAGTTTAAATGAGTGAAATGAGTCAACAAAAGGCTAAAAAAAAAGCTCTGTACAGAGCTGACTTGTTAGTTCAGAGAAACAGCAAGAAAAYAAATATAAAACATCTTACCAACTCATGAATACCTGTTCCTAMAAATTATAAAGGCAACACTCATAAATGGTGTTTGTGAGCTGAGAACAGAATTATAGCATCAATTTCTTTTCTTTTTCTCTTTTAATGAAATGCAAAAGTCACTGGATACATACTAATCTTCTCTGGGTAAACCGCAGAGTCTGAAGTAAGTGAACGTCTCAAAAGCCCACATCATTATTATCATTTAAAACATAATAAAAGTTCAAAGCAAAACAATTCTTGTAAAGAAAACTRTCATAGTAATACAAACCATAGCAGTCTGTTTATGTATATCTTCCAAAATGGATACAAAGGCACTTTAAAAAGAATACTTGTTAATTACAACTTTCTATAATATCATTCAATTTCTCTATTTGCAAGATTATGGACATTTGGTTGTATGTGAGATGATTTTCACAAGTTTTACTTGAATAACCATACATTGTGTGTTTCTGGTAGAGACTACATTATACAGCCAATTAAAAAGGCAACCCAAGTGCCCAACAGCAATTAGTCTGGCTTCACTGCGCTGCAATTAAGGCACATTATTACCAGGCATTCAAAAGCCAAGCAGGGTATGATCTAGTTTACAAATGGAACCATCAGCATAAACAACACTCTTCTGTTGATATCAGAAAAAAAAAAAATTGTCATAGTAGTTCGTGGCTTGAGAGCTTCTATGGCCTATAATTTAATAAACCAAATCCCATGGCCAAGAAACCAAATTTATTTTTAGTTCACTAATTTAAGATAAAGTGTACTATTCTGCTTTTGTAAGCTGTTTTGTCCAATTTAATCAACACTATTTACAATGTCAGAAAACAATAAAATACAATAAGTACCTATTATTACATTATTACAGCCCACCAGGACCTGGGAAGTTATGCCTAAGTTAGGAGGCTCAATAATTTTATGCTTCATATAATTTCCAATTCTTCAATTAGCAAATTTAGAGATAGTTCCCAAATTCTAAAACTAAAAACAAGAAAAAATAAATTTAAAAAATTTATTTTAAACATCATATAATGTGGTAGGGCACTCAGTAGTAGGGCACTTCCACAGCATGCTTGAGGCCCTGGTCTGGTCCCCAGCACCACACACACACACAAAGTTAATGAAACTTATCTAGCACCTAAAAATAATTTTTAAAATTTACCCTGATTTCAAGAGAAGAATAAATGTTTAACCAACAAGGTATTCATTGTTACGATATTCAATACACAAGTAATCAAAATCAACTTCAATAATATGCAAGGTAAGTTGCRGTTTAAATTTTCAACATAATAAAGAATCAAAAAACTACAAAAAAGGAAAACAACTATGAAAACCTCAACAACACACAAATAACTCAGGGTACAATTTAAAGTTTTTAAAAAGCACAAAACTAGGGGCTGGGTTATGTCTCAGTGGTTGCCTGGCATGTGTGAGGCACTGGGTTCACTTCTCAGCACCACATACAAATGAATAAAATAAAAGTTCATCAACATTTAAAAAATAATTTTAAAGCACAAAACTAAAAGGAAGAAAAAGAAAACAACATATACATACACACACACACACACACACACAAATTTCATTTACTACTTTTTATTCTTTTTTCTTTATAGGGATTGAACCCAGGGGTGCTCCACTACTGAACTACATCCCCAGCCCTTTTTGTTTTTTGAGATAGGGTCTTGCTAAGTTGACCAGGCTGGCCTTGAACTTAAAACCCTACTGCCCCAGCCTCCTGGGTAGTGGGGATTACATGAGTGCACCACTTCCCAACTCATTTGCTACTATTGATTTTTTAAGGAAAATTAAGGCTACCAGAACTGAGGAAGTTACTACAGATGTCCTCAGAAAAAGCCTACTGAAAATGCCATTTGGATTAATCCTGTGTATCCTGTGCACTATCTCACCTGGTTTTAAGAGAGAATAATACAAAGTTAAACCACAAGCTGAGTCTGCAATTATATATATATATATTTGTACTGGCAACTGCAACCAGGGGTTCTTTACCACTGAGCTACATCCCCAKTCCTTTTTATTTTTCTTTTTGAGACAAGGTCTTGCTAAATTACTGAGGCTGGCCTCAATCTTGAGATCCTCTTGCCTCAGACTCCCAAGTCACTGGGGTCACAGGCATGCATCACCATGCCTGGCTTTTTGTTTTTTTTTGTTTGTTTGTTTTACTTCTAAAGTTCATGGGACCTCAATAATGAGTTCTAAAAACCCACTTTCCTACAAATACAACTACAGACTACCCTTGAAAGGGGGCTTCTCTAGTTTCTCTCACTGTGAAAATGCTTAAAAATTTTTTCTGAGTGATCTTTTGTCAAGCAATATACATGTAGGCTATTTGTCCTGTAATAGTTCATATAAATTTTAAATAGGACCTCTGATTTAAATAAAAATTCACTCTCAGGTAACATAACCAAAATATCTTTTCAAAAAGTTTAGTTAATCCTACCCTGTGGTGTTTATTTTCTCAATACTTTAGACAAAACCCCTTTCCAGTGAATTATTAATAGCACTTCTCAGTCTCCCCCATGACTCCAACTTCATGTCTGGGTTTCGGGGAGAAATGCACAGCYTCAGCCCCTGGAATAACACAGAAACCAACTCTTAGTGTGACTTGGCAGACTGCAGCTCTGGAAAGAGCCATGCAATTGTGAAACTGACTCTAAAACTGTAGCTGGGCGTCTGCRGAACTGAACCAAAGTAAACTTCCCCAGCACCCTCCCACCTCCTCCTGCCATGCTGCAAGCAAGCATCGCTGTGGTGCCATCACTGCCCTTTGGAAGGAACATTAAAACCTTTCAAGCAAGCATCCCTCATCCAAACTACTGTCAAAGAGCCTGCACTGACTCTGGAATGATTTGATACAAGTACTTTATCAAACATGGAATGGGAACTCAACAGTTTTCATCTTAATGTAAGAGGAGATGCACTGGGCAGGCAGAAAGGYGATAACACACAGTAGGGTGCTCCTTCACAGTGAACCATACCAAGAACACTTTCCTGGAAGGCCATTCATCTGCAGACATTAAAAAGATCCTCACACCAGCATGTGCAGGAAACACTATTTCTATTTTCCTGCAGATTCAAGATGGCTATAATATAGTCATGACACTCAATCAAGAGTGTGAGGGAGTACTGCTACATTCCTGAAAGCTTTCTGATGAAATACCATTTTCCTGCCTAACCTCTAAAGGTTATTTGACTCCACTGAAGACTAAAATTAAAATTCCCATTTGATACAGAGGCCAATTTTACATCAGAATTCTATCCTCAGACACCATGCAACAAAGCTTACATTCTAGATGCCAGAAAGCAAACACTGTGGAATCTGTCAGGTTTTCTCTGCAGTACTGTGGATTAAACTCCTGACCTTGGGCATGCTAGGAAGGTACTCTACCATTAAGCTACACCCCAGCCCTTTTTATTTTCTGACATGATCTTGCTGAATTGTCCAGGTTAGCCTCAAACTTGTGATCGTCCTGCCTCAGCCTCCCAAATCACTGAGATTACATGCATGCACCATGGTCTGGCTCAAATTTGTCATTTTTTAAAAAAATTCTAAGAGTGTACTCCTGGCAACACTAGATATTATGGTTTGCAGATGAGTCTGAAAAGATTCAAGGGTAAAGCAYTGCATACTTCAGGGGCTCTTGCTTAGCATGCTGGATAACTTCAGCTCTGTCTCTTAGTAAGCCACACAATATCATTACTTCCAAAGAATCACCTCATCTCTGTTGCCAATATGCTACATGGCACTCACAGAAAGTGACCCTCCAAACTCTTCTGCAACCAGAGCAGTATGACACTGTGTCTCAGACTATCTAAGAATGCTCACTAGGCATTGAAAATTTTCAATTCAGATATAGAACTTCTCAGGATAAGCTTGAACCATTATTAAAATGTGGTTCCCCAACAGCAATAGCATCACCTGGACACTTATTAGAGATGCACATTCCCAGGTCTCATTCAAGAGTTACCAACTCAAACTCTGGTCTGAGAAATACTATTTAACACAAAAACTATGTTCAATGCTGTGCTGTTAATTACCATCGGATTCTGCAGACAGCTGCATAATGACTTGTACTGACTTCTCCAAAATAATTTGCCTTAATAGTTTGTTTATATTAAATGATTTTGTCTTAGAAAAGCAAAAAAAAAAAACAATTAAAACAAATAACAAGGACAACCTCAAAATCCAGGAAGCAGTAACACAAGGCTCTACCACTCCCTAAAACCAGGAGGTCACACGGTGACAAGCAATTAGATTCTCTGCAAGAGATAATCTGGGGGAAATTATTGCTGACAGCTGTCATTCTCGTTTTGAAGAAGCAAAAAAATAAAAATAAAAAAATAAAGATAACTCAAATGACTCCTGACATCTCATTAGAACTTCCTTCTGTGAATTGGCTACAAATTAAGATTTAGCCACCAA